TGTGAAAGCTTCTAAGGATTCTTCTTCCAAACCCAAACGCAAATCATCAAAAAAATCATCTGGGCCTCCCATTGTAGTTTCTTATTTCCCCGTTAATTCCTACATGTCTCGCCTGTAAAAGCAGGATATCTATCTACCCAACGTGGCAGATAAATTTGTGGACCAATATCTCTGGTTCTGCAGCCTCACGAAGATAGAGGAAGCCAAATCATGCGAGCTATTTCAATTACTAATATTATTCGAGGCTATTGCCTTTGACGCCTGATATTTACATAGTCCTGCTGGCTGCTGTAAACAAAACCATTCTGTAATTTCTCCCACATTTGTACTGTGTATTTAACTTATTAATATTATTGATTGTTCCTTTGTGCCAAAAAAATGAAAAGAGTGTTCTGTTGTTAAACAATGCCTTCTTTATTTAAGACCAATTGGATCACCTGGAAACTTGCATTTTGGCAACAAGAGAAATTAAGAAATATTTGAGTGTTGTACAAGTAATTGACATACGAACTAATCAATTAATTAATCACCAGGTCAAATCAGAGTAGCCGCGTGCAAATGTTTCATGGCCGAATGAATTACACCTACCCAACATTTGCCGTAATGACAGATTGATACCCAAAAGGTTTAGAAACGACAATAGGTATCTTCCGTTATGTGCGGTTAATGATTTCTGTTTGCTAATGGTAAAAAGACTAGAATACCCTTAAAAGTTTTTATAAATTTAAAAATTTCTAAAAAACCCCCTAGTTTTGCTAATTTAACTAAACACCCAAAGATATAAAATTTTTGTAAAATGATAAAAACACCCTCACCACCCGCAGTGCCAGATTCTGGCCACCATAGCCGGAATCTGGCTGAAAAATTGCGTTACGACATAGACCCGTCGAATCTGTGTCGTAACGCGTCGATCTGGCCTTTTCTGGCCAGATCTACCATGGATTTAGTCGAAAAAAGCCAAATCTAACCGTTGAGGTCGCTAAACTCCATCTTTGGCCAAAGATGTGGCCGTCGTTGTCACAAAATTTTTATATAGAATAATACTACACATACATCATTCTCATACAACATTATGTGGCAAGATATGATTGGGTGAAAGTTTAATTTTAATTTTAAATTAGCCAATCATATCTTGCCACACAATGTTGTATGAAAATGATGTATGTGTAGTATTACTCTTTTATATATTGGGGTGTTTAATTAAATTAGCAAACCTAGGAGGTTTTTTTAAACATTTTTAAATTTATAAAATACTAAAATATCAAACTTTCAAGGGCATTATAATATTTTCACCATTAGCAAACGGAAATCACTAACCGCATATGACGGAAGTTACTTATTTGTCGTTTTCAAATCTTTTGGGTACCAATAATCATTTCGGCAAACTTTGGATATGTGTAAGCCGTTCGGCCATGTTTCATTTAACTTGGTCTAGCTACCTCGCATTCAAAGTGACTCTGACGTATATGGTACGCTTATCATATTATGGTAGATGGTGAAAGACTTAACAAACAATGGATAGATATTCTACATGTGGCTTCATCTATTGGGTTCCCAGTCAAAGAAGCCACTAATTGTTGGTCTCTGAATAATGTCAAATCCTATCTGAGGATCAAGGGATGGCGTAGTTCATGCAATTTCTGCATATCACAAATTTTTCAAGTTTTTGTGGCTAGCTAGCTAGTGTTCATGTCTGTTGGATGCCAGTGCTTCTTACTAAGAAGCTAAAATCCAAGAAGATGAGACCAAGGTTCCAAAGGAATCAATCCTCAGCCGTTCTGGATATGGCTCTTGTAACCATTGCTTTGTATTCTTGTATGCTGGCCATCCAATAAAATGCAGAAAAAGCCATCACATAATATATGCAAAACTTAATTCTTTATTTCATAGTCTTAAAATCTTAGCTTCTATAAAAGAGATGGACTGATAGACTAAATATTGAAAAAATAAGTTCGGACTTATCTATATACACATATTGGTAGTTGCAAACTGAACAATCCTAGATGGTAGAGGAATCAATTTAAATATCTACAATTTATATTATATAAATTCATGATTCTTCTTCAATTCATAGATCATTTTAGTAACAATGGCTCTTTTCTTGACCATTTGTAGTTGCATAATGTCTTAATCACTGTCGAGGGTAGCCAACGATTATGGAAGTTCCAGACCAGTAACAGTACAAGCTGCGCGCCCAAGATAACCAAAATCTCCTGGAGCTCCCATCGTTGTTTTTTATTTTCAAACAAGTAATCAGCTCTTTCACGTGTAATTAAAGACAAACGAAGCCATACGCTTTTCTTTTTCTTTTTTCTTAATTGGTGGGGACATGCAAACGCAGAATGTTCTGCACTTTCCTCGTAGGAAAGTGGAAACTTCAATACGAATTCAATGACGGTAGTCTATTTAGCTCGTCTTATAGTCAAAAGTTTCTGATAAACCTCGTTGTAGAAAGAGATGTTCAACAAACATATGGTCCAAATACAAAGAATTATAATCCGGTCAAAGTAGCCACTGACCCACCACGAGAAGTCTTTTCTTGCCATTAACGTTTTATGGCAAAAGCTACAAGTTACCCAACTTACCATCTCCCCATAAATTTGCACAGCGTATTACCTAAAACTTCATTCATAACTAAATTAAACTGCTTGCTTCTAATTCTAATCCCCTCTGCTAAAAGTGAAAAAAAATGGGAGTGTTGTCTGTGTTTTTAAGCTGTTTCATGCCTACTTCGGAGTCTTCACGAGTGTCGGATAATAACGGGGATCTGGGGATGAAAGTTTCTTCACAGGAAAAATCTAAAAGTAAATCAAAATCATCATCTTCTGGAGCTCCATTGGTTGTGCCTTACTTCCCTTCTGCTACACAGTTCTCTCGCTTGTAGAGCATCAAGCTCAGAAATAAGCATTTGGGAAATTGAGAGAGGGGGACATTTCATTGGTTGCTTTTCAATTATTTTATTTGTGTAATTTGAGGATTTGTCTATGCCTTGAATAAAAATAATAGCATATTTTACATTTTTATTTGTAATCTTTATAGCNGCCCAGTCATCTTTTGTTACATAATGTTATATGAAAAATGTTATATGAGAATGTTGAATGTGTAGTATTATTCAACGTTTAAACTCATAGGAAGTCAGTGTAATTAACTCTAATTTTTTTTGTTTTGATTATATTTTATTTTAAAAAAGAAAATCAATTCTTTCTCTCTCTCAAAACCACATATCAAATATGTAAATATTTAATCATTGGATTTTCATAATCTAATTGGGTAAAAATTATAAGGTTTTGGGTAGGTTAGAATTACAAACATTTGGTATATAATTGACCATTAATTTTTTAAAAATTAATAAAGAATTTATGAATTCAAGTTGCATTAATAGCATATAAGGTTATCAAATACAAATCATAATATATTACAAATTGATCACAAGTTTGACTTATATGTTATAAGTGTGACATTTAATATAACAAAGATTTTGTTATATTTATTCTGTATAACATGGATGTTGAGGAAGTAACATGATTAATTAATTAATTAATTTAAATGCACCGAATAATACACAATTTTTGTTAGCATAAAAATCAATGCTTCTTTTCTTCATTCAATTCTTTCACCAATAGTTTTAAAATTTATAGATCAAAGTCAAAATTTGGTACCCCACCCATAAATTGCCTAAAGCAACATTTTCTTTTTATATCTCCTATCAAATAAAGAAAGATTATTTCTTTTTGTTTTTAAATATGACTACACTTCTCAATGTTTTGCAAGCAAGATCTATTCGGTCACCTGCTTTTCTTTTCAATCAAATCACTAAATATATGATGATGCATACAAAATTGCCAGATTTGATATATTATAGCTTTCATTCAAGGGATTAAGGAAGATTAAAAAAATTTATATTTTAAAGTTATAGTTTTTATGATTCATGAAAGCTAAAGTTTTCTACATATAGATTGTTTATTGATGTAAAGGGTCTATTTTATTTACCTCTCCATGAGATGGCCTAGCATGAATACATTCACTATTATTGAAAAGAGTAAACTGACATATTCCACCCAAGGTTTGACAAAATCCCAAGTTGGTATCCCAAGTTCCATTTATTCCAGATTCCCACCTTTAAAATAACACTGTTAACAATTTTTAGGGTAGTGAGGGTACAATTACCATAATGCCCTTAACCCTAAATTAATAAATTATGTTTTAACCCCTAAATTACTAAAATTATAAAATTAACCATCTTCTTTTGAAATTACTTCAATTACACCCTCAGTGACTGCGCACCGTCTCGGTTTTCACCGAATCTGGGCTATTTCCGATGGCGACGAACCCCCTGGTCAGCTCCATCACCTTCCCCATCGTTCGTCGTCCAAAACCCCTCTGGTTCCAGACTCATTGGGCCCTCCAATCGTGGGGCCGTCAAGCTTAGGTTTTCGTCTTTCTTCGCTGGATTCCAATCGATTCCGACGACAAAAATGCAATTGGACATCACCACTGCAACTAGCATCTCCAAATCTACAAAATTCCTATGTCCCCAACAATCGTTTAGTGGTCATTCGCCGGTGGAGACCAATGAAAACTAGTCGCACGTGGCAGCTGTCGTGGTTGGCGATCGGCTAGTGATGAGGGGTTGTGAAGGGTACGGTTTTGTAGAGGGGAGGATCAGGGTTGGAATGGTGATGGCAAAGGTGATTTTGGGTGAAAGAATCGCCGGAAAAGGGCGAAAAACATCGACGGTGATGTTGGCTAACGTGCACTGGAGCTTTGTTAGGGGCGACGATCTGCTAATGTGCTCTTCCTTTACGAAATGACCAATTTACCCCTAAGCTATTATATATAACCATTTTCCGTTACTTTAAGGGTGGAAATATGTTGTTTACTCTATTGAAAAAAATTAAGCACATTAAAAGATTTTTGATAGTACATTAGAGATTTTTTTTTTTTTAAATTTTGTAATTATAGGGTACATATGCAGTCGTTTCTAGCCATCAAATCTAGGTGAATATGCTAACATCATAAAGATTCACCTGTGTTAGTGATTATGACGCTAACGGTGCTGCTAAACTTGCTATCAGCGACGGTCACCGGTGACTGTCACCAACAATAGTCGGGTGAATGTTTGTTGACAATTTATTTTTTAATATATTTTTTAGTATTTATTAAAATGTTATAAAAATTAAAAATAAAACAAAGAAAGAAATAACATAGACCCTTTTTTGTTGTCACATATTCATAAACAATTTGAAAATCTATTTTACCAAACACATATTTATAGTTTTTGAAACTTACAAGTATAAAAGTATATAAAATTTACTAAGTACGCTCTAAATTATTTATAAAATTGATAATTTGTAAAATTAGATAAAAATAATTAGATTGAAGGGTACAACCTAAAATAAAATTTGGAAATTTTAGATGGAAAAGATTTGTTTGAACTTGATTGAGAAAAGATTTAATGAGTGAATGTTTGGTGTATTTATAGCTGCCTGGTTATATGTTGAATTATTGGTGCATGTCATTTCATGGGAGCTTCATTATTAATTGCAAATCTAGGTGAGATCTAATGCTATGACCACATACATGCCCACAATTGATCGTGACTCCAATTTAATTTAAAGATCGGTTTGAATTAAGAGACATAACATCAAATCAAATTAGTCTAAAGATTATTATCAATCCCAGAATATTATATGAGAAACAAGGTAGGACCATTCATGATTTTCTCAAGAGATTGCATTGGATATACAATGATAGAAATCCAGCACCACAAATTTCAGATTCCAAGGGCAGATCTTGGAGTGTAGAAATAAATAAATAGTGAGTGGACATTGGGGTTATTAATAGAATGGATTTTCTGTAGACAACCTCCTGCTTTACAGGTCTCAGCCATGGAAGCAACTTGAGGAGAAGCCAACATCTATGGACCCTCTTAGCCTNGGATTGCAATGCAATGTGCTGTTTAGTCGAGCTTTCTCTGAAGGATACTGTTGGAGTGTATAGGTATTTGGGAGGGGTGGCGAAGAGATGGATTTTCTGCAACAGCAAGGAATTCAAGTGAAGGTTATCCCAGGTATACTGAAGTACATCAGTTTCTCTAATTCTTTTGAAATTATTAAGGGTATGTTTTGCTGTCTCAATTGAAGGTGGAAAATATTGATCATCGTGGATGGAAAGACAAGCACTATAGGATTAACTGAAATTTGTCCTTAGCATTTTCATTTATATCTACTTAGAAAAAAAATTTAAGTTGATTTTAAATTTGCAAAACAGCTATCAGTTTCTGTAACATTTAAATAATATGGATTTCTGGTTAAAAGGTTCAACTTTCTGCTGATTATTGCCAAATTGCCGGCTTGGCTTTGCTGGAAACTAACAACTGTCTCATTGAGATTCATTTGGAATGTAACATTGAGGCTGCAAATAAAGGAATGCGCGAATATTGTCATGCAGAATGACAAATTTTAATGATATAATGCCCTTCTGAATTTGGTGTAAAATCTTTCCACCAAATCAAGAGTTTTCTTTCAATTTATCCTGTCTTCACTCAATGGTAATTATATGATACCATATTCAACTCCTTCCATTCTGACAGTGCCCTCCTTGTTCCGTTGCTGCTATAAGTAGCTTATTGGTCCTGTGGGGAAATAATTTTCTTAGAAGGCAGTGAAGCCTTTTTCCGGTCCAATAGTATGATTGTTGTATTGGCTGTTTTGCAGGTATCACTGCTGCCTCAGGGATTGCAGCAGAGCTAGGGATTCCATTAACACACCGAGGTGTTGCAAATAGTGTTAGATTTCTCACAGGGCACTCAAGAAAGGGTGGAGCAGATCCTCTGTTTGTAGCTGAGAATGCAGCAGACCCTGACTCAACCTTGGTTGTTTATATGGGCTTGTCAACCCTCCCTTCTCTTGCCCTGAAGTTGATGCATCATGGTCTGCCATCAAATACACCAGCTGTTGCAATTGAGAGAGGGACGACACCTCAACAACGTGTGGTAAGCATGATACCAAGTTTTGTGTGTGCATGTCTGTGTTTGTGCAATGTTCTTGGGTGTGCTTGTGTGTAGTCTTTTAAGTATGTTAGTTCTTCAATTAGAAGTCAGGTTTTTATTTACCTTATTAAAATCTGAGACTAGTTTTTAATTTCTCACCCTGAGCTTAATCCTGCTGTGTATGTTTAACTAATCCGTTTTGTTTCATACCAAACACTTTAACTAAAATGATACCAGGTTTATTTTTGTTTATAGCATTTGTAAGGTTGATTCTTAAATCTGTATGCTTGATAGTTTAACATCATTATATGAAATCCATCAAATCATCTAGCAATTAACTCATCAAGCTCTGTTGGAAAAAAAATGTATTCACATGATATGAGTAGATGTTCAAATCCTCCTAAGTGCATAACTAATGAACTATATGTGGGTATACTTGGTAAAAGTTATTACTATTCATGTTATTTAGGCATAGTGTGAAACTTGATTGAAAGTAACTAAAAAGCTTTTGAAAACACTAACTAAATAAATATATATATATAGCAAACAGTTGGAACAAGGTTCCTTTGTAAAAGATAAAGTAGAAGAGTCCCTTTTGATATGGCTTCCAAATGCTTCTTCATCGTTATGAGACATTTCATGATTGATTAGATGCAAAGGTGATACTAATTAAGTCAGCACTAGAGAAATTATATTAAGTATTGTTGCAATTATTTTCTGTTAGAACTCTTGAGCTTCAACCTGAAGCAACTATTTCAGGGATGTACCTTTTAAAGTGTTCCATATCTAGTTCTCCTGTTGTTGGTGCTGCTGGTTTACATGCATTTGCAATTGTGCAGGTTTTTGCAGAATTGAAGGATCTTGCTCATGAAATTACTTCGGCAGAATTGTTATCACCAACATTGATCATCATTGGAAATGTTGTTTCACTTTCACCATTTTGGCCACATTCTTCAAAAGAAGTACCTTGTTTTGCTGGGGCTATATAGACATATCCAAGGCACACAGATGAGTCTACTGTTGTCCGAGATTTGTTTTTGGCTAATAACTCCTTCCATTCGTTCACATTCAACCAGACAAGTTGCAATGCTGCCTGATAAGTCTTCTTGCGGTGAAGTTAGATGCTGCCCCAGATATGGATGCACACTTTGTTTTGGTATTTATTACAATTTTTATATCGAGAATGTGTTGGGAATGAGCTGCACTGGACATACAAGAATCTTGTTCAGTGCTTCGGATCAATCAGACTTTCATAGTGAAGTCTTGATTAAATTTTTCACACCAAGAAAATAAAAAGCACAGCCTTGTCATTGTCATTCCAGCCTTCTGTGTTGGCTTCCTTTGAGTTAAGGATGGGAGCTTTGAGTAGAAAGTTTTGTAGCATGAAACGGAATTTGTACCGTTGTAATTATTTTTAATAACATTATTTAAGGAATGGGCATGTCGCTATTCAATTTATTCCATAAAATCGTTTTTGATCTTTGCATGATTCTTGCTGATAAATAATTTGCTAGAAATGCAACTTTAAGTAGCAGAAAGTGACATAAAATTGCATGACGAATGTTTTACAGGCTTAGAGCTTCCAGATTCACATTGTACGCAAATGGTAAAATGTGGAAACATAAACATTTCCAATATAATCAACGTTATATTTCTGAAAAAATATAATACACACCATCTATATGGAGGTTAGATCCATTAAGGAACTAGGGTAAACTGTGGTCCCAAACGGTCCAATCAAATCAATTTCCTTGAAAGAAAATAGGATTAAGCACATTAAGTAGCATGCATTTATAGTTGGAAGTAAATGCAAAATGCTGGATGCTTTTAATGCTTTTCAACGTTTTATGAAAGGTAAAACATTACAATGAATCACCAATCCTTTTCTCTTCTCTCTAATTCCTCTCTTGTTTCTATTGGGTATATGCTTAAGCTTGACCAGGCTCTTTAAAAATATCTGCCTGTGCGGCTGCCTAATTGCTGTACACTGGCAACTACCAAAACAAACAGGACAAGAAACCTTTGCAGCAAAAGTAGAATTTGAATGTTGACAGAACATTGAAAATGAAACCAAAACCTGGCAACAGCCTGGCATTAGAGTGTCTCGGTCGCAAAGAAAGTTCTCATAATTCAAAAATCCCGGGACCTCTTTTAACTTTCTCCCAAATACAGAAATTATTTCCTTCCAGTTTAAAGGTTCACTAAAAACCATAACATAAAATTGAACTTGATAGACAAAGGTATATAAAAGATTGTAAATAAATAAAATTTCTTTATTATACTTTTATATACGTATACACCTGTGGTACATAGATATGATACAGATTGAAATGGAGGAAGAAGAATCTATTCCTTGTAGAAAAAAAAAAAGAAAGAAAGAATCCTATAAAGAATTAAAGAATGGTACCCTATAGAATTTATATGCAAGAATTAACGTGAGTGTTCTACTTGCAGAAGGAGCATGCTGGCAGAGATCAATCGTAACTCTTCGTAATGGTGCTCCAGAGAACCCTCATTGCCCTGAAAACCATAGGTACATAGTTTTCACAAGGGCTCAAATTCAAGGTATTTGCCGAAAAGTTTTGAACATTTGTAGTGAAGCAATCTGTTGTGGCGTGATCATGTTGTAATTGGAAGCCTCAAGTCTTTGAAATTAGATCACAAGTAGGTATGAGTACGTCCAGCCTTACACATACACTCTGGCACAGGATACTTTGTAACATCCCTTCCAGCTTTACTTGTTCTGAGTTCCGGCTGTCCTAAGGATTCGCTGTGCAACTCCTTTATGATCCTATTGAACTCTGTTTCAGGGAGAGAGGAGTTGAGGAAATAAGGGAGCATGTGTCTTTTGTTCGGGGTTATATACTTCTTGTGCCCTGCATATGCTCGGTGTCCCTGTATTAATAGACAAAACAAATATTAGTTTACAGTGTTGGATGCAAAGACATGAGTTAAGGTTCTAATTCAGACTTGTATCACTAACAATGCTGAAAAAAGAATGATGATGTTGACTATACCTGGATCGCGTGGCCCATATTTCCTCCGTGAGAAGGCATGAAAACATCACTATTCTCTGAAACTATATAGTCAATGGCAGCCATGAAGGAAGCTTTGTTTGCAAATGGTTCTAGTTCACCCGGCATGGCTAGATCTTCCTTATTGTAAAAATGGGGAAATTCTCTGGTTAATGGCAGTAGGGCCTCTTTCCCACCCAATGGTTGCCCTCCTGCCCAAAAGATTTTGGCACTCTTTGGAGCTCCAAGGGCCTTAAGCAACCTAAAAAATCATAACACACGATCAGAACTTCAGTCATCAAATAATTAATATACGGAATAAGGAAAAAGTTAACCAGTTGAAAATTTTGAGCTACTTATGTTAGTATACACATGTCCACATTTTAGGTTTGAATTCTCACCTGGTCACCTCCATAGCATTTAAGGGGCAGAGACCAGCAAGCTTCCGCTCATGGTAAGTCATGTTTGATTTAGCAGTTAAAAGCTCTGGCCTTTGTTTCCTCTCATTATATATTATTTCATCAAACTCGGGGCTCAAACCAGGAAGGCAACCAGTTCTCACCCATACGTCCTTTTCCATTCGTAGATGAAGAGCAAGGTAGGGTCCTTTGCTCCACATCCTCTCTGCAAGCTTGTTACCAAGTTCCAAAATTGGAGGGGCAAACCTCAATGCGTGAAAGGCCACCTGAAGTCAAACAAAGACAATATCAGTATCTTTTGATGATTTTTGAAGAACAATAGACTGAACATCTCAACTGTAAACGCGACAGAATTCTAAGAATTGCATAGAAACAGAACGAGAACTTGATACCTTGCAGCGGAGTTTCTGAAGATCAGAAGGGAGTTCTTTAGAGAGCCTTGAATCCAAACCACGCAGGAGCAAAACCCCATCCCTGTTAAGCTGCAATAACAAAGAGGAGACATGGATAAGCTCCACTGAGAAAATTGTCTAACAATTGGTCTTAACGTAGAAAATGGGCAAGAAATCCCAAAAATAAAACAAACAGGACAAATGAAACAGAGAATTCTACAAACGGCTTGTTCTAAACCAAGGTTGGTCATTAAGTTAGTTAGTTTCGGACAAGGTTTTCAGTTTATTGACAACATATTCCATTGGAATGGCCAATCCGCCCAACATTCAAAATCACTTAACATAAGTGAGACTGTATTGAATGAATCAACAAAAAATGATCTTATGTTGAGAAGTGGCCCATCACTATAAGCTGTAAACTAATTGTTGCCACATTCTTAATAAGCTTCTTCAGTTTAATGTTAAACCTGGCTTAGGAGACAATTAAAATTATCAGACTAATAACATTGTTCAGACTTCATAAACAAATTACAACGTGCAGGCCATTAGTGAATCCTAGCTATTAAATAAAATATTTTTAGTACCAAACTTGCAAGAGAACAAAACCATGTTTATTTACTTTAAAGAATAAACAGAACAAACAATCTTACCCTCCTCAGATAACGTGCACGAATCCACTGAGGAGAAACATGAAGTGGAGTTCGTTTCTCCTCCACCGGCCTTGTCATTATATGAGTTGAGGGCAATGAAGAAACTATTCTCACATCATTGGCAAGAACCTTCTTGAAATGCTCCAAATCAAATATATCAGAAAATTCACTGCAACCATCAAAAGAAAACACCAAAAAGAGCTATTCAATCAGTAACACAAATCATACATAAACCTTCTGAGTTAATGTAATGTTAGTGTTTAAATGTGCTGTTAATTTTCTTTTACCTTTCATCACCCCAAATGACATTGACTTGCAAAATGGGAACAACAAGGGCAGCACCAAGAATCCTAGCCATGACCACAGCGTCAACAATTTGATTTCTTTGCTGATTCATGCCACCTGAGACGACCACTAACAAATATTTTCTTCTGTTCTTCACAACCCCTTCAGTTTGTTTCTTATAATCTCTAGTAAATTGCAAACATGGCTTGTACCCCATGCCATCTGGTTGTTTCCAAAACTCACCGTCTTCATCTGACTCTGCATACCCTTTAGAAATCAATGCTTGTGGTTGACTTACAACCTTCGAAATCCTATCTTCCTCAATGTTTGAAACCACACTCAACTCACCATTACCATTCAAAAACTCATCTTTGAGACTGTTTTGAGCATGGTTTTCACCATTTGAAGCAAAACTTAAAAGGGGTTTTGTGTACCCTTCCGAAAACGAGTCTTGCTGTTGAGTTGTGAAACAAGGGTATGGAGAGAAAGGGATCAAATAATCAAGATCGAAGCCAAGCTTCAACATTCCAAAAAGGCCAAAAAGAAACAGAGTTAAAAACCAGAACTTAGTGCTCTTGTAAGACCTCAGAGAAAAGAACCTTTTGGTAAAGCTCGTTTTTGAAGATTTCTTAGGTGAAACAAGAAGAGTTTGAAGTGAAGAAGACGATAAAGAGTTTATTATTTGAGAAGGAACTGATATGTAGGAGAGCTTCTTTGTTTTAACCATTTTTACAAAACAAAAACAAGCAACAAAACTTTCTTCCTTAAACAAAGCTTCACTTTATGTTTTGGAGTTTGATTTGACGACGAGAAACGTTCAGAGAGAAGAGAAAACGTGTGTTTAGAGAGAGATTGGGCGGCGGGAACGCGAAGTCTAATAGCCTCTGTACGCGTTCTTAAAAAGGAGACGGTCGCTCAATGCCAGAGACTTTCCTTTACATTTTTTAATTAGATAAGTTAAACTGTTAAAGACGCTGGTTTTATTTAAGTGGGATTTATTAGTTAATTAATTAAGCTTAATGGCTACTTTTATCTGGTCAATCCACAGAGTTGAGTTTCAACAGTAAATTTTTATTTTTTTTCTTCTGGATTTGTGATTACATTTAAGACCCTTTCAGGTTCTAGAACCTTTAAGCCATTAACACAATTAATGGTACAAAGTCAATACTTGTGTATTTATTGTGCTCTAATATTCTCCTTATGCTAACTGTTGAATTTGTGCTTTAATTAGGACCCAAAATGTAATATTTTAATCTTCATGATATCTAAAAGTATTTTTCCAATCTGGATACGTACATTTTCATATAATGAATCATCAATGAGAGTATATCACATTAGCGTTTGAAATACGAAGAAGTATTTTTCGTGTTTTTTTAGATACATGGGTAAAAGAGTTGAAATTTTGAAAGTGGGTCATATGGTAAGGTTGTGGGGGGTTTGAATTTGGAAATAACTGTAGGGTTGAAATTGAAAGAAAGAAGGAATATATGAAACGACATAAATCTCGAGAAGAGGTTGTCGTATAGTGGGTAAGGCCAGCTGTACCAATAAAACAAATGGCAGTAAGTCAGCCTGTGAGCCTGCCTCCCTCCATTCCACCACTCTTGTCTATTGTATTATCCCAAGTGCCCCTAACCCTATTCCTGCTCCTACAACTTCCTACTCCTGCCAGCTGGCACCCACTGACATGCTGGCACGTCCTGCTTACGTGGTCGACAGTG